ATCAGGGCTCTGGTGCACTGGCCTGGGGGCGTGCGGTCCGTCGTGCAGACCCCGCCTCCCTGGAAATAAAATATATTTTTTAAGAAATAATTTCAGAAAGAAAATAAAATAAAAACTGGTGAAACACAGGAGGCAACACATCAACGAAATAAATTGTGTAAAATTAAATCGTGATGCAACGTGCTAATTCCAGGTGTGTTTACACTGTCAAAGGTGCAGCTCAGGAAGTATTATGCATATGAGAAATGACAATCAGAACACAAGGTAAGTTGGTTATTACAAATTAGTGGTGTGAGAGAGTCAATATGCATATGGGACAGAATGTAAAAAGGACAAATCCAGACAGAGAAAGTGGAGATTGTGACATTCATGATTTTTTATTGGTATTGTTTAAATAAAATTATAGTGAGTTGAATTATTGAATAGTGTCACTCTTAATTTTCCAAGTCTGATGTGTTGGTCCGGAGATGGTAACGGGCCGAGTTCCCTCCGCTCTCTATCCTGCATACAGGTTCAGGTGAATAATGAGGTGAGGAGATGGTAATGAAAATGAGTAGGGATGATGATGATGATGATGATGATGATGATACAACACGTCAAGCTCGGCCTTCCCAATGTGAATTTAAGAGGTAAGTGATACATTTGAAATTGGTAAAAGTCCATGGTGCCGTATGAGTTATGTATAAGGTTGTAATAACATGTTGAATAACTATGATGTAATGTGTTGTGAATTATCTTGTGTGTGATGTGCTGTAATTAATCTATGTGTCATGTAGGTCTGAAATTAAGTTGTCCAGCTCCCCTAGCCAGTGGGAGAAGATAGCACTGGCTGTCTCTGTAGTCCACTGTATGTTGTCAGTTTGTGTTATGAAATCCTGGTCCGGGAAAGCTGAGAAATGTGTATAGTGTTTTATTATGTGATTATTGATTATTGCCAGATTGTGCTGTTCTATTGCTGGTAGATGTGGTGAATGGTTGATAATAGGAACGATTATGGAAGCATTAGGGAAGGCCGAGCAAGCCTTGTTGACCACAGTTCTGAGCTGTTTCACAGAGGTGTTGTGGGGATCCTGAGCCCTGTTATTTAGGCCCACCGAGAGGATCAGCACTTTTGGGTTTCTGTTAATTGGTGTTTTTTCCAGAATCTTCCAGAAATGATAGAAGGAGGCTCCCGGGTAGCTGTCAGCCTGGACAAAAGGGTGGTTAAATTTGGGGATTCTGTGTATGTTTGAATCCCCCAGTATGGCAATTGGTTTATTAATTTTGAATTCCCAGTCCCGCAGCTTGCGGTTGTCTCTGGCCTGATGGTAAGTGGGGTCAGAGGCTGTGTCTGCGCATGCGCCCGCGCCCGGTGGGGAGAGCCCCTCGGCTCGGTACGTCTCCCGGCAGGTGTATTTTTGGAATGGGTGAGGAAAGATCAGAGTTGGAATAGTAGTCTGTCATGTTGACTTTTTGACCTAAATTACTCATCATTTCATTTTTCCTCACAGATTCTGTGTTACACCGGGGAGCCGCCTCTGCCTCAGTGGGTGCGCTCTCCCCACCCTGATGTGATCTGGGCGCGGGCGCCGGGAGATGGAAGGTGCCGTTTAATACTGACCCCAGGCCAGACTCTGCATGAACGCAGGTAGGTGTTGGGGTGCTACTGCGGGACTGGGAGCCCTGTGTGTCATTATTGTTTTTTTGAGTAATTATGTTTGTTACTCCAGGCTGACAGCAGTCCTCTGGGAGCCATGGCATTCACCGTCCTCTGGGGGCAGCGCCTGTGGGGGGAAGTAGGAGGTGAGTGGTAGTCTGGGACTGGGGTGTTGTCCAGAGGCTGTGGAGAGATGTGGTTAGGCTGAGGAAAAGAGGGCTCCGTGTTAGGCAGGTGAGGAGGGAGGGAAAAGAAAAATCCTCATCTGAATCACAATATTTCAGGGGGGAGGAAGGGTTAGAAAGAGTGGCTGTGGTGAAGAGCAGATCATGTGCAAATGTAATTGTGTCTGGATCGATTCTGTTGCCGTAGCGTCTAAGAGCCCATTGTGTGGCTACTGTAAACGCCAACTCGTTGCCAGGGGTGTTAAGGAGATGTGTGATTATGTCTTTGTAATGTGCTAATAAAATGTGCATGTTTTGCCATAACCAAGTGAGTGTGTTTTCTTTGAGTGTGTCTGTTGTGTTTTGTGATGGAGAGGATGGTTTTATGAAGCTGGCCAGTTGGAGTGTTTTGCGTAACATCCCTTTAGGAATTTCGCCCTCCTCAAAAGCCTGCTGTATGTTGTTGTGATGATGTGTGGCTTGTATAAGTTTTAAGTGATGTTTAGCTGCAAAACGGGTGGATGTGTCCAGTGCCTGTTTAATTGGTGTGTGTGTGTTCGTATGTGCGGTGTTGTTTGTGCCGTGTGTGCTGCTGTGTCTGCTTTCCGGTCCGCTCTGTGTGTGGGGGGAGAAAAGAAAAAGAGAGAGAGGGAGGGGTCCTGTAAGTTGCAGCCGCGGGTCTGCCTGCTCCCCCCGACCCCGCTCGTGTCGGGGTCCGCTGCCCTCCGCCCTGTGTGCACCCGTGTGTGTGTGACCCACCTGCGTCCATCTCGCTGCATGCGGTTGTTGCGGTTTCTGCGTCATGTCGTTCCGTGTTTCCGGGTTCTCTGTGGAGTAGACTGGGTGGAAAAAGTCTTATTTCTTTTTAATCCAACAGAGGAGGAAGCCGACAGTTGCGGGAGAGGAGGATGAAGCGCTCAGGTAGGCAAGGTGTTCACACCGGGTGCTATTAAAACGTAACTTTTAATGATTTAAATTTAAAAAACCAACGAGGGTCCTGGTTCCGAATAATAAAGAGACTAATTAAAAAGTTTAAGGAGCGGCAGCGGCTCCGCTGACAGAGCAGGATCCCCTAACGTTTCGTGCCTCGCCGGCACTTCTTCAGAGGGGAAATGAAAGGGGGAAAGGGTTAGGGTTAGGGTTAGGGTTAGGGTTACCTGCTGGAGGGCCTGGTGCGGTGGAACGAGAATCGAGGCAGGGCGGCAGTTGAGGGAGGACAGAGGTCGGCGCTGCGTTGCTACAGTGCCCAGCTGCAGCACAGCTTCGACCAGCTGACCCAAGAGCTTCTTGGGCTCACGCTGGTCGACACTTACACCGTGCCCAGGGAGTACACAGGTAAGTCATAAATCTGTCTGAGGTAACGGTAACGTTTAACACCTGTCTTAGGTGTCTGTCATTTAACATCTCCTGACACTCCAGGGACTGATGAGGAGGAAGCGGGGGGGGGGGGGCAGTGATGAAGGGTTCGAGGAGGAGGAGGAGGAGGAGGAGGAGGAAGAGGAGCCAGAGGAGATTCGTCTCCTCGAACACCACAGCGCTCTCCTTCAGTCCTCAAACCTCACCCGCCCCCCCGCTTGGACCTAATGGAGGTGCAGCAGGCTGAGGAGGAGGACGTTATCGGGCCAGACGGTCGAGGCAGCTACCAGCACGTCGTGGCCCTGGCCCAGGCCCTCGTGGAACTGCGCCACCGCCGCTACGTCACTCCCAGGCAAGCCAGAGAGGTCACCGCTCTCTGGCTGAAATTGAGTGACTGGGACAAGGCGGCGGTCACATTCCCCCCCGTCACCAGGACCGGCTCGTCCAGGGCCGATTCAGGACCACCCAGCGGCACGCTCACACACCAGGGGTGGATAGTGTGAAGCGGTAAGCAGTCACAATAAATTTCCAAGCTTTGTTTGGTTCTTGTTCTGTGCTGTCAGTCACTAACTAACTCACTCTCTCTCTCTCTCTCTCTCTCTCTCTCTCTCTCTGTGTGTGTCAATGTAGTGCGGTCCTGGGCAAGGGGGCGGGAGCGGCGCAGTCTCCCGATGTGTCGAGGCTTGTGGAGGCTGTCCTGCTGGACCTCAGCATCCTCCACTGCAGTGAGGGGAGGATGATTGCCGGGGTCCGCATTCATCGCTGGAGTGCCGTCATGAGGGACTATCAAACAATTCGAGAGAATGTTTATAGTTGTGCAGCCCTCATGCAGGCACCCGCATCCAGCTGTATGAGGTCAATCAGCGGACCCTGACGCAATGTTAAGACCTGATCCTTTCTCTCACATCTGATCTGAAGTGGCATTGTGTGTGTGTGTGTGTGTGTGTGTGTGAGAGTGTGTGTGTGTGTGTGAGTGTGTGTGTGTGTGTGTGTGTGTGTGATGTCATGATTACTAATGTGCATTTGTTACATTCTGTTTTTTAAGGCACACCAAGAGGAGCAAGGCGATGATGAGGGACACCATCGCCATTGCAGTCCCGGGGCCCAGCGCTTCCCAGACTGCAGCGGAGCCCCTGCCTGCCCCACGGACTGTGCTGCAGCAGCCTGAGCAGCCAGACCAGCCCCTCCAGCACCGCCTGCCTGCGGACGCTTCTGGTCTGGCTGCCACCATCAGAGGGCCGCTGGCCCCGGAGCTATACGACCTCATCGTCGCCAGCTCCTCAACTGCCACCACCTCCTCCTCCTCCTCCTCCTCAGCCACCCCACAAGCCTCCACCAGTGTCAGCGCGGACGCCGTCCGTCCACCAGTGCCAGCGCAGACGCCGTCCCGTCCGCCAGCGCAGAGGCAGGTGTCACCCCCTCCACAGCCACAGCTGCCACTGCTCCACCAGTGCCTAGAAACACTGCCTGGAGGCGCAAGCTCCAGGAGGAGAAAGAGCGTCGTGCCCGGGAGCTGGGAGAATATATGAAACCAGCAAAGAAGGTCTCCCACTTCAACTGCAGGCACTGTGGCCAACCAAAGACGCGGGCGTTTGGCCACAGCCGCTACAAGACGGAGACCTTCTGCTCCCGGGCCGACGGGAAAGGGAGAACTGTGGAGCAGTGGCTGGCAGAGGTGAAGGGGCGTGATGGTGCAGCCCCCCTCCCTGAGCGAACACTTTGTGTGTGTGTGTGTGTGAGTGTGTGATGGGGCAGCTCCCCCTCCCTGAGCGAACACTTTGTGTGTGTGTGTGTGTGTGAGTGTGTGTGATGGGGCAGCTCCCCCTCCCTGAGCGAACACTTTGTGTGTGTGTGTGTGTGAGTGTGTGTGATGGGGCAGCTCCCCCTCCTGAGCGAACACTTTGTTTGTGTGTGTGTGTGTTTGGGAGGGAGGGATTTGTAAATATTGTGTATATAGTGTATTTAGTTAGTCAGTTGTGTTTGTTAAATTAATATTATGTATATAGTTGTCATATATAAGTTATACCTTTTTATTTGTCCCACAATGGGCAAATTCCAATATCTATATAGTTGTATATAGTTGTCTTAATTGTTTTAGTTTAAATAAACTTTTCTTTTTTTAAACCAATGCTTTCTCCTGCTTCTTTCTGCCTTTAAGAAATTAAATAAATATAGGGAAGACTAGGTATCTAGAATAGGTGCCTGATATCAGTAAATCCCCACAAGTTACAGTCACAATACATCATTCCCTCTCCTCACTTGAAACTAGGGTCAAGGGGTCAACCAGGTCAGGTTCAAAGGCTTACTTAGAGACTAGGTGAGAATTGGCCTTTTACAAGTGGACATTGTAAAACAACAGGGGGTGCCGAGGGGCCTTCACTTCTCACCTCCTGGCTTCCTGATTAAAACAACAGGGGGGCTCTTATCTCCTGCGAGAACTTGGGGGTTTGACCGGACTGAGAGAGGGCCGAACTGGTAGGTGTGTCTCCCCCAAGAGGGGTTTCAAAAAAAAGGCAAAAAACAGACAGTCAATTCATTCAAGCATTTTATTTGGACAGAATGGAAGGCAGAAAAGCAAAGCGAAAAACCAGACATGTCACTTCATTAGGTTTGTTACAAATACACTTTTTAAAACTACATATGTGTTTCTATGTACCTTGACTAACAGAGTTCTGTATTGTATTTTATATTTTAGGGGACTACGACTGCACATCCTCCTCATCCTCCTCCTCCTCAGCCTCCTCATCCTCCTCGTCATCCTCCTCCTCCTCCAGCTCCTCTCCTCGACAGCTTCAGGCAGCAGAGCCAGTGGCGGGGACCAGCAAGCCCACCCGTTGCACTGTCTACAGGCGCAAAATTAAAGCGGCAAAGGACAAAAAAGTCCTCCAAAGTAGCAGGGGAAAGCCACAGCACCAGCCTGGGGACCCCTGCTACATCTGTGACCAAGCACGCACGGTGGATGGTGGCCACGCGTACTTCAAGGGCCAATACTTTTGTGCTGTGAAAGAGGGCCCTGGAGGACGCACAGTGCAAGAGTGGACCAGGGAACAGCTTGGCCCTGGTGAGCTGCAGAAGCTCCCCAGAACAACAGCCTGGAACCTCAAATGAAGGTATGAGAAACCAGAGAAACCGGGGGGAAAGTGAGGAAGCCCCACAAACTGAGGATCTGCCAGCTCTGTGGCCAGCCACAGCAGAAAGACTTTGGCCACAGCCAATATGGGGGAGAGCACTTCTGTGCTCTTTATGAAGGGAAGACTGTGGAGCTGTGGCTGGCTGAGAAGAGGTCAAAAAAACATTAAAATTATCCAACTGTACTGTATCATCCAAGCACCTTATATGTTTCATCTGTTCATTGCACCTTATATTTTTTATTTTTACTTTGGACTGCATTATACTGGTTATTTATACATTTTTTATATTGCATTCTATATTGCTTTTTTTTTTGTGTGTGTGTGTGTGTGTGTGTGTGTGTGTGTGTGTGTGTGTTTGTTGTTACTGTGTGTAATGCTGCTTCTACACTGCAATTTCCCTGCTTATGTTATACATTTTTAACCTTTCTAATAAACATTTAATTGATTAAATCCTTGTCTTCTCTATTTAAATATTTTTTAACTTAACTTTTTAAACCTGGAGCCATTCATGAGGCCAAAACCATTCAAATATTAATGTACATTTAACCAAACAAACCTGGAGCCATTCATGAGGCCAAAACCATTCAAATATTAATGTACATTTAACCAAACAGGTCTCGTCGCTTTAAATGCGTGCGGGGCCTTTAATTCTCCGTGTCGCCGCCGTATGATAAGTAGCCATGTGCTCGGGATGACGTAGGACAACAGCTTTTGACTGACACATGTCGAGAGAAGGGGGGGGAAAGGGGGGATCGTTCCAATTCTTTGGCGTTATAATCGGGAGAAATAGAAGGAGAGGCTCTTTGGGGCTGCTTTTTATCACACGAGCCCGGGGAAATGCGGCCGACCGGGGGCCGGGGGCCGGCTGCGCGCGCCGCCCTCGGCGCTCCGCACGGCTCCCTTGCTTCTTCGCGCAATATGACCAGCAATGGTCTCTGTATGCCAGCCAATGAGCAGCAGCCAGTGCTGTCGAGCGTTAGTCGAACGTTGTCAGCTCTGGGCCAATGAGCAGCCAGTGCTGTCGAGCGCTAGTCGAGCGTTGTCAGCTCTGGGCCAATCAGCAGCTCGGATTGTCGAGCGTTAGTCGAGCGTTAGACGTTAACGCCCACCTCTTAACCTCACCGGCTGCCGTATGCGACGGACAGAAATCCCCGTGTGTATTTGAGAGAGCAGTGAGATCTGAGAGAGTGAGTAAAACCAAAATAAATAGAATATTAATGTACTGATATAACACAGCGACCCCACTGTACTGTTACGATGTACTGAATGGAGTTAATGTTTTATTACGTTCTGCCGGCACTCTCTGGTTAGCTTATGCTAATATTGAACGTGGACGTCAGGCGTCCTGTTTACACATTTAAACCATATTTATACTTCGAATTTCGACTCCAAACTGTAGTAACTACATCTACAGGGTCTAAGGAAGATAATCAGGTAGTCTGTTTATAGATTAAATACATTTATGAGAGATCGCCAGCCCTCAGAAAAGTAGTAACTAAAATGACCCCATTCACCTCCTTGTTTTTAGTTAGCAAAATCGCGGCTGGTCTGTTTACACATTTAAACCATATTTACACTTCAAATTTTGACTCCACATCGTTGTACCAGCATCCCAAGGGTCTTAAGAAGTGAGCCAAGTTGTCTCATCACGTTTTTAAAGCGTTTCCAGAGATCGTCAGCTCATCACAGCAGTGGCTAAATGCTCATTCATTTCCAACGCTTAGCATGCTAATAGCGATTTATATGCTAACGCATCTAAAGCACAGTTAAACTTTAAATATCAACTCCACACAATAGCAGTACAACATCCTAGGTCTCAACAAGTAAACACAGTATGGGAATACTATTTTAAACACATTTCACCGATCGGTAATGACATCGGCGGCAGTGCTAACTTACGCTAACGTTACATTGGCTCGCTGTTTCACTGCTAACTGATTACTGTATAATATATAAGCTGCCTTTTCGCTGTAGCACATAATCTGTTTAAAGATTAAATACATTTTGAGAGATCGCCATTATGTAATGTAATGTAACGTAGCTGTAGCTAGGATGCTACAGTATAATTACAACATGTGACGATCTCTGAAAACAAAATTAAAGTATGAAAAGACTATACAGTTAATGTCCTTAGAGCCTTAAGGTTATAATATCACCAGGTGAAATCAAAAGATAAAGTTTAAGTGTATGTTTTATACATTAACAATAAGCCTGTTTGTTTAATGGCTGCCAATGCATAGGGGGCTAACCCTGGGCTCATTATTTACCTGTTGTGTCACGTGATGTTAGTTTGTTAACGGTAATGTTTCAATAGTGAATGTGAAGTACCAGTATATCATTAATCTTATGTGTGATATTCCTGGTAATATAGCAGTTAATATGTAGTTTAACCTGTAATGCTCCTTTAATGCTGTGCTGTGTCATTTCTTGTCATTGTAGAAATGGTTTTTGCAAAACTGCAATTCACAGCCTCGCAGCAGCTTCTCCTGCGGGCCTCTGGTGAGGCGGTGGCCTACATCGCCGCCAAGGGGCCACGCGGGGCCGCCGCTGCTGCGAGGGCCAAGAAGCCGGAGGAGGTGGAGAAGGAGGCACAAGCCCACGTCGTCTCCACGGGCGGTGACCCTGGGAACCACATGCTGGTGCTGAGCTGCCACAGCATCCAGTTTGGGAAGTACCAGGGTCAAACGTTCCGTTGGCTCCTGGAGAACGACGTGGGCTACACGGTACAGTTGGTCGCCAGCCACCAGCGGGAGCGGGAGAAGAGTGCCTCCGACAGCCCCCTTATGGCCAACAAGGACGCTCTCGCCCAGTACTCGTGCACCCACCCGGAGTTCGCTGAACACATAAGATTCCACCGGGCGCACGAGGAGGCCCGGGCTCGTGCCAGTCAGCCCGGGTGTGAGGGCGAGGCCCTTGTTGGCTTTGGGAAGTTTAAAGAGGACACCCTGAAGGACCTGTACGAGTCCTCTGATAAGGACCGCCAAGGGTGAGTGATTGGTGCTACACACAATGGATTGTGAATTGCTGTATGTCATTATTGTTCACTAATGTGATGCCGTCCATGTTGTAGATTTGTCAAGTGGCTTCGAGGGAAGACACTGCACCCTGGGACTGCAATGGACGCCGCCAGGAAGTACATCCTGGGCCGAGACGCGAAGCGGTCGGCAGAGGCGGCAGCTGCGGCTGCTACCCCCCCTCCACCCACCAGCAGCCGCAGCATCAGCAGCAGCGCCCCCACCACCACCAGCAGTGGCCCCAGCAAGGCCGCTGCTTCCACCGCGCTGTAGCCACACAAGCCGATCGCCTCCAAGATCGCCGCCGGCGTCCCATGGGCCCAGGTGAGCTGCAGGCCAAGGTCAGGAAGCTGATGACCACACCTGCACAGCCTGCAGTTCGAGGTAGATCTCTTTCTTTCTCTTTAACACAACAGAGTACAGTTCACTGTACATGATTTACTAACCATTGCCCAACCCCCCCCATAGCGGTGTCTACATCCTTCAGAGACCAGCGCCCCTCGGTTCCGCCGCCGCCCCACGCCACAGAGGTGACGGACGAGGAACTGGTCC